TCACAACAGCAACAATAAAAGGAAAGAATCAAGTGAGAGGACTATGGGAAGAACAGCGGCAGGAGTACCACAGGCCGCCGTGTTTTAGCAGTTACGACAGCAACAGTGGCGACACGACAGGCCCTCGTGAATGCATTTGTCCTAGTATTCATCCATATATGTAGAACTTCAACTAGTTTACTGTATGTATAGACAAAGGCAATATATCATATATATGATATCTGTTGTTGGCGTGGCAGGACAGGGATATTGGAAAAGCAATGCAACAAATAGCAGAAGCAGCAGCAGCGACAACAGAAATAGAAAAAAATGACAACTACTGAGATAGTTCAAAAAAATTAGGTTAAATAACGAGCCGTATTAGGAAGAATACTATTCCCCCTTTTGTCTCACAAAACCCACGCGAGAGGCAATAACACTAAGTCACGCAGATCCAATGGCGGTAGTAGATCAAACTAGTGACGGTGTAGCCATCACATGAAGCTCGATAAAATCGAATAAATACAGAAAACAAGCGGTATCCGATTTTGTAAGACTTAAGCTAGGTGGAGTCAACAGGTCTCACAGATCGACAAATCTCAGAGACGGTTGTCTAATTTCACAAGAGACGACAGCCATGAAAATATCAGTAAGGAAAAACATCACCCACCTATATGACTGTCGCTGCCGTACTAACTCTGCCTGCGTCGATAAATACAGAAAGCAACCTTACCTAGTCATCGTGCCAGGTTGCAGATTTCAGTTGAATTAAAGTTCCCCTATGATGCAGGTGCGCATGCAGGACAACTAACAGCGTTGTGTCTGCCATTGCTAAGTATACTACTTGTCGAGTATTGGACGAAACTGTTGCTGGAGCTCCGGGATATTATCTAGAAGTGGGATTTCTCGCCAAGCGGTGAGACTCTCTCACTAAACTTACGGTTTGGTCAGGATACGTGCATCGCATATGCAATGTAATTCGTGTTTACTGTAATTTTGTAAAAAGCTGTTTCATTCGGCAGGCAGTTTCGCTTGATCCAAGATATATTGATTGATAATAGTATTTGAACTCTTTAATATTAAACCTTTAGGCCATGGTAGCATCCATAAACATACTAACGGTAATAGTAATTATAATAATTATTACTAGTGTTATCGTACTTGTAAAATAATTATTGTTTGCATCGACAGTTGCACGCCCGAGTGACACTGAGCCTCTTTCACAGCTATTGTATCAAAATAGCTCACAGTCTTATGTTAATTGTGTGGTAGATGTTCCATAACAATTATAACCATTCCAATATATTAGACCACGATTCAGCAGACGCTGTAAGAATTGGAGGCCATGCAACGTGCTTCAACAGGAGCTCGTGGGACCACGCTGAACTGGAAGCTCCCCTAGTAGCCGCGTCCCCCTACGAGCGATCTGAGTGAGTCGAACAAACAACGCTTCGTTCAGTGTGGCGATTATTTGAGCTCATGCAGAACTCGTTTAACAGCGGCGGTGACGGTTCTTGCCGCGGAGGCAGTTTTGTTATGCCAAATAGATCTCTAATGACCTCGGCCTTCACTGGCGATGATACCACCTTTCCCAAGCGCGGCCTGTTTACCGACGTTGCCATGACATCGTATGACGAGGATAATGTCTACTGCTCTGTCAGACCCTGTCGTTACGCCGCCGTCGGCCGGGTACCCTGAACCCGGTGATAGCAATAAGCACTGAGGCGGTCAGTTCGTTTACGAACAGGGCATTGCAAATGCACTACATAGCCAACCGTATTTTTACACCCACCATCTGTTTCAGCTGGAAACCCAGATAATGTTAGTGAACATTACGCATAGCTAATATGTGTCCGCGAGCTTTTCATGCAACCCATAGATCGCATGAATAGACGACTCTATATCAATGGATCTCCAATATGAATAGATACTACGCTCTATAAGCTCACAGGCACATTAATAAACTTCTAAGGGACACACAGTGGTAAGCAGCTGAAGAGAAAAAATATTGTAGTTACTGAATAATGTAGAACTTCATTAGGAGATAACACGGTCACGAGCGACCTGCACAACAAGGTTTCGTTTTGCACCGAACATTTGTGGCAGTATCATCATGGAGGAACTCCTGTCATCTTGCATCAACTTGATTATACTGGGATTTGACGTCTGCCCCTAGGCGCGTCATACTTGGCCGCAACCATGTTAACTTTTGGTTAGACAAAAGCAGCACAATTTGTTAGAGATTTGTCTATTGAATGAAGAAGAATCGAATGTCGTTAGCTGGAGACGAAATACAGTTTTTATTTGTACTCTAAAATAAAGAAGCTTATCCCATCACGTGGCTCAGAACCGTACGTCGCTTGACTCGTCAAACAGCAATCTGGATGTCAAGATTGGATAGAACTTATGTGGCCATAGAGCGATTAACTGCGCTCCGTAAGCCGTGTTCGGAGTCCCGAAAACAGTTTCGTAGACATACGTGAAACACCATAGCTATGAGCGGTAAATTCGAATGAAAGAATGTTGGCTAAAACGTACTACTCAGATTCTATCTAAAAGCTCAAATTAATATCATATCTTCTGATGACTCGAATCTAAACGCATCAATGATACTACATTAGCGCAGGCCACAAAAAATCACACTATCGCTAAAAGACCAGTAGGGAATACCATGTTTCAATCAAACAAACTAACAGGCATTCGCTAGGTAACTTAAGTAGGTCAGATTAATATTGGTTAAATGACCACTTCGTAGTAGATTCGATCGAAACGAAATGCACTTTCAATAGGCATGCATTTTCAATAGATTTGTTTTACGAACTACTGCGTTTACATTCTAGCTAGACTATAGGAAATAGGTAGGGCCTACGAAATTTTTCTATTAATAATATGATACTATAGTGTCTGATATGATTCTATACATAATAATAATAAAAGAGATGCTGCACTTACCGGAGATGGGACTTGCGATAGAGTTCTTATCTCTGAAGGATATATCCAAAGTCATGGAGTTCCACCATGGTGTTTCCGTTTTATGGGTTTTGGGTCGTTGTATCCGAAAGTTGCATAAGGCGACGGAAAAGCGTCGGATCCTCCGACACCGAGGCGAGTACAGGGCAATAGAAGATGCACACTGCACGGCGAGCGATGGCGTCACTGTAGCTAAATGTGTGAGCGAATATTTTTCCCTACCCGTATCACAACTATGAGTTGCTGTCAACGGTCGGAACAACTTCTCGTTGAATCGAGTGAAGGCAACTGTATTCAAAAGGTAAACCAGGTGTCTGACGTCTATTTCCATGATCACCTGATCGACGACCGTAGGCGCCGACCGCAAGCAACATTAATAACAATAACAACGACAACCACATAAATCCACCCGCGACGACGAATACGACGAGCAGCGGCAAAATAACATTGTCATCGTAATCGTGAACATCTCAGCAATCAGAAACATATATTTCTACGATCGCATCAACGACAACGCCAACTGCTATCAACCCACAGGCTCTTCACCACGATGACGACGGCGACAACAACAAGATTTAGCAATAACTCCATTGAAGGATAACAACAACACCAAGAACAAGAGATTGCTATTTGGAGCGATTTGCGCAAATGAAAAAGCACGTCTTGTTTCTCACAGGACCAGCCGGGGCCTTGTCGAATCTTAACTGTTTGCCCTTTTTTTTTAATTCACTTTGGTGGCTCGAGGTCCGCCTGTTAATGAGAAATTCTGCTCAATAACCCGATTTCTTCATGGCGGTTTGACAAGGAAGACCTAGATACGATACGATGCCTGTATTATTCAATTTATTGAAGCTCATGGTGCTATATATGAAAGAAAAACAGGTAGTGAATCACCAAAGGCCATGAAATGCGGCTTACTTTATTCTGACCATTCCAACAAACACACTTTCACACAAAAAGCCAAAATGAGAGGAATACACGGGTTTTCTGCTCTTGTTGTTCTTATTGTTGTTGCGACTGCTTCTACTAATGCCGTTGCTGTTGATTGCCGTTGTTGTCATTATGTCCGCGTTATAATCCACTGCTATATCGAACCATTGATAATTTGGCAGCTCACCAACCGCTTCGCAGGAAGCTGTTTATCGTGGCGGGGCGATTTTTGGGGGATATATCCAGTGGTCGTAGCCGTTAATGGTGCACTATGGGGCAACAAGCGCCCTTCAGAGACTCAAGATCTCCACTATACTTCCAGCCGTCGTTCGTCGTAGTTATCATATGAAATCCATCCGGTACTTAGCGTCTGTAATCCTGTGAAAGGTTCATTCGACACTTGTCGGCACTACGGTGACTGACTATAAATAGCTCTTTTCAGAGATGGGGTCCATACCCCGAGGGCGCATATAGACATTCAAATTATGATGATGGTACAACGACAACAACAACAAGAGGCCGCTTCTGGGTGTTTTTCTCATAACGACTTTTTCTCTAGGAGGAAAGCAATCCTTGCTGCACCCATGAGCAATACGTTAAAGAAACAATGCTAACAAAAACAACAGTTCGAACAACCAGTGAATTCAAGGGTTGTGGGGAAAACAGTGTGGAAGGAAGCTGCATTTGAGAGCTGAATTAGGAGGAACAACACAAAAAAAGCTAAAGGGATTGGAATGAATTGGATTTCGAATCTTTCAGCCGTCTTCATTCCGCCTAACTAATTTCCAGAATACGACGCTACTAGGGCGATAAATGAAAATACAGGATTAGTAATACACCTCTAATTTTTGCATTTGTTTCTACGAGCTTGAGGGATGCTTGAAGAGGTAGAGCAAACCACAGAAGCTAACCATGGCGAGATGAGCGAAACCGATCGCCTTTCAGCGTTCGGCCATGCACCAGCTGAAGTAGGCTGACTGATTAACTCCAAAGCCTGGTCATTCGTGGTACGCACGGCCGACTTTGGATATGGTTTTTAAAAGGGTGCTTTAAGATTATTTTTGTTCTTTTTCGATTTTTTGTTTGTTTGTTTGTTTGTTTGTTTTTGGATAGTTGCATACCGTTTGAAGTGGTCCCGTATCCGCTCCTCGCGTAGGTTGTCGGGAAGGTTTCCGACCCAAAGGTGCCTGGTCTCCCTAACCATGGTCAGAAGTGGACAGAGCAAGACGCCCTCCGATGCGTTCAAGCATGTTCGGCGTTCATGGCTTCCGCCGTGACTTCAACCGAGCGGCGCAGGCTTCGCGGCCTGCTGCTCCAACTTCACAGCTCGGCGATACCTGCCTGGTTAGATCTCGTCGGCCCGGCGCACTAAGCCTCCTGGCCAGGCTTTGGCCGCGGAAGGCGGTGCCGCTGAGGGCGTCTAGGCCGATTTCGGCATGAATGCCGAAAATCGGCGCTCCATCTCACCAGCTTGGACGGGTCTATAGCCCGCTGACATGAGATGACCAACGGCAACCTATGGGTCCGCGTATAGCCTCCTGGTTTAGTGGTTCCTCCCACACGGCAGGATGATCTAGCTTTCCAGTTGAGTTTTGCACTGTATGTTTATTTTGTGTCCTTTAGATATTTCTCCGTAGTGATCTCAGACCTTAAGTTGGCCTATTGCTCACTGTCGGCACGAGCTGCCATTACAACTATTTCACTCGAGACTCAGTAGGGGCACTCTGAGCTCGCTGGCTTAACAGTCACTTTTCCGTCTAAAGTCTTTCCATTGTTCGCCAAAAAGGAAAGTCGAACCCGGCGATCAGGATCGCTATAAACTAGTCGTTCTATCTATCTCCTTTTCTTTCTCACATACTTTTCCTATTATTTTTTAGATATCTTTTGCACTGCACAATAAAGCCTTCCTTAAGCTTTTAGCACATTAAACACTTCCTTTCGATTGGTTGCTGCTGGTGTTGTTGTTAAAAGAGCACATATGCACACTCACAATAATTTTTCTTCTTTTTAAGATATAATTTTCCACGCACGGTAAAATCACTTTCCTCGGCCCGTCGACATTCAAATGCTGCACAAGTATGAAATCCAAGGGAATCCAGTAGCAGTAGCTGTAGTAGTGGTGGTGATCTATTTGACTGGCAACAGATGATAAAAGCCAGTTGTTCTAGCCGGGGCGTACTCGACTATTATGCGATGGTAGCATATATTGGTACAATAATTATTAAGTGATCCAGCGTAGGTAAAAATACACAATTCTTGTGACTGAAGATCCAATGATCCTGCGATATACTCGCTACGACTCGTACGATGATAGGATTGAGCACAACACGCTACACTGTTGAGAACTAATTGGCGCTCCCACCCACCAAATGAACAGACGCACTATATAACGACGCACACAATACGATAACGCAACGCACACAATAACCGAATTATATCAATCAACAATAGATCTCATCAAGATGTATATCCTTTGAATAGATGAAGGACGTAGAGATGGCAGCCCGGACTTGGACGAAAGGGAGGATACGTTGTAGATAATAGAAGAGATATAGAAAAAAAGAGTGGTCGCAAACTTGCGTCCACTTGCACAGCACTACAATATCCTGGGTGTGTATGATGATCTCTCGTTAGATGTTGGGGTGTATCCTACGCAGAGGGGCGAGGGTGGAGGGGCAGGGGCAGGGGCGGGGAAGGGGATGGGGGGGCGAAACGAAATCGCCTACCTCGCGGAATTTGCAAATTTTCTACTCAATCTCAGCTTAGCTCCTCTTCTTCCGTTTGCACAGTATCACTGCACCAACTCTGTATCCAACGTTGTGTTGTTACTGTAAGATAACTCCAATTTGATGATTCCCCAATCAAATCAACGTTGCAAACTGACCGTAGATTTTTCTTCCTTGTCGACGTTTTTTTGTTGTCACGGGCGAATTTTCCGGTAGTGAACAAACTGCTACAACGCCTGCTAATTAAGCTGCCCGGCAGTTGACTGGCTGGTAGATTTTGTCTGTGATTTTCTACTGCTTCTACTCAAGTTCTTGTAGAGCAGAATTTTATGAGGACCCAGGCAGGGCTGCTTTTTATTTTGTAAACCACCAGCAGAAATAGCAGCGGAGATGGCGAGCCAGCAATTCTCTCAGGAGTTTGTCGTCTTCGGTAAAAGAAATACGACAGAGTGCAATACCAGCAAGACGACGGAGATCACTGAAAAAATCAACGATCGATTTTAGTGCCGGTCAGTAATGTGCTCCAAGCTACTATTGTTGTCGTTTGCTCTAGCCGCGTCTTCGTTTGGGGCCTGTACAAAATGGGAGCGGGGCGACTCACTCACTGGGGGCTTCACGGCTATCTAGTTCGTTTGCTTGGTGCTTGCGGTAGATTCAGATTCAAGCTGCTACACGACGCGCTGTACGCATATTGAATGCTGTGTATGGCGAGCAGCCTGTTGTCGGTGTGTTTTGTTGTTGAGAGAGAATCACTGATGCATAGAGGAACACAGAGTGACGTTAACAAACACACATTCACCGACAGCTTACTTGGTCAGGTCGAGGCGGTGTGTCGTGATCGTCCGCCTTGTTTTACATTGCCTTGCCCTGCTTTGCCTTGTTTGGTCCGCTCCAACCGTTGTCCTAGCTCTCTCCGACTGGGTATTTATTAGCAATCCCACTGTGTTCTGCTGGTCGCTCGGTCTATTTTAAATAATTGCTTTCGTTTCAATCAAGGCAGTTGTTGACTCGTCAATTGCCAGCGGTGTGGCCTGGCTGGATTCGGCCTATAGTTGCATATCTTGAGGCAGCAGTAGCGGCAGGCCGTTTCCGTCGCTGACGAGTTGCTGCTGCTGCTGCTGAGTTGAGCGCCTGTGACGACTCTGCTTCACTAGCACGAACTGATCTGACTTTCTATCAACGGGTTTGACACACACTTGGCCGCGGTTGTGGCACGATTCTTTCTCACTGAATCTGGAAGGACTAGCGATATTTTCACTGGTATTGCTTCGTCCAGCGCTAGGCAGCAGGCCGCAGTACTACATGGACGATATGGAGGCAAAACGCCACCACCATCGTATTGCGTGTATCATCATCGCCGCTTGCCTCTACCGTTGTATTCGTTTTGTTTTCGTGTTGTCCTGCACCGCTACACAAACACAGCATACACACATACAGCAGCAGCAGTACAGAGTGCACACGGCGGAAAGGCACAGCTCTAGGCCAGTACACTCACAGCTCTCAGAGCTCACATACACACAAATACACCAACGAAAACGAACAATGCTCAGGGATAAACTACGATGGAGTGAGTTGCTGCTGTTGCTGTTACTTTTGCTGCTGCTGCTGCTGTTGTTGATGCTGCTGCTGCTGTTAATGCTGCTGCTTCTTCTGCCGCCACTGTAGTCGCTTTGCCTGCCGCTATTCGACAAACAACAACTCGTCGCTCGTTTGCTTGGTCGGCAGTAGGTAGGTAGGCCGCTTGCTGCTGCTGCTGTTGCCTGCTGCCCCGCTTGCTTTTTGCTTACCTGGCGGCAGCCGGTTGCTTATTCGACCGCTACTAGTAACAGCACAGGCGTACACGGACACAGAGCCAGGCAGAGGGGGTCAGTCCTGCTGCGGCTGCTGCTGCCGCTGTTATACAGGCAGACACGGACTGTACAACAAACTGGTTTGCCTGCCTGCCTGCGTGCTTGCTTGCTTTGCTAGCAGCTTACTCAGTCGACTGGCTCTCTCAATTCGACGATGCTAGAAGTAGCAGCAGGCTTCTGCTGCTGCTGCTGCTGCTGCTGCTGCCAGCGTTGATCAGTCGCCGTTGTCGGTCGGTCTGTCTCTCCGGCCAGACCGGCGCTCTTGCCGCTGCTAGTTATAATAAAAGTAGTAGTAATATATAGTTGTAGTGATGGTCGGCGTTCGGTCGTTGTGGATGTACAGCAGCACCGCTGCCACGACCGCGACCAGCTGCCGCACACACACAACACACGCACGCACGGCGCCAGCAGCAGCAACCAATAGCGAGAGGTTGACCGCTAGCTGGTAGCAGCAGCACCACCACCACTATTCAATGCACATAGAGAGATAGATGTCTTGAAAGAGGCAGGGAGGGAGTGAGCCAGCAACAGCAGCGGCGCCGGTCGATTGAGCGAGCAAGACCAGCTCGCTACGAGCGAGCGCTGTTAGACAGGAGCAGCGGCAGCCAATACACAGTTCCCCCACACTCCAGGACGACACACACACACACGGAGATACACACTCACAACTACACACTCCAGCTATACACACACACACACATATTCAGAATCAAGGCGCTGCTTTCCAACTTCGTCTTGGCAGCCGCCGCCTATTTCGTGCGGCCACGGGCGTCACACATCAGCGAATCTCGCCGATTCTCGCGGGAATCTCGCAGCCAAGCCACGCCTCCGGGCGAGGGTCATGCGGAGAGGGGCTCGCACTAGTGGCGCAGCGGCGGCGGCGGCGGCCACGGCCAGAAGATAGAGAAGAACGACGAGAAGAAAAATTGTTAGCGGCAGAGAGGCAGCAGCTGCTGTGGCGCTCATACCACGTACTCATAGACCATACGAACCAACTAACAACCGTGCAACCAGCCATGCCCATAGGCTTTCGTGCTTATACTGTGGAGTATTAGCTGCCGGTTGAGGCGGCCTCCCGACCGGCGGCAGCGGTGACGGCAGCTACCACTGTTCGTTGCTCCTGCTGTCGTGCTATCGTGGAGAGGGTTGAGCAAAAAGCTGCTGCTGCTGCTGCTGGCGTGGTGGGACTATTGCTGGCGGCGCGCAGGTCGCGCAGAGCACCAACGCGGAATCAGCAGCGCTACCATGCTTCGGCTATACTCGCAAATACACAAAGATTCTCCTCGCACAAGGTAGAAAGAGCGCGCGAGAGAAAGAGTGAGAGGCCGAACCTAAAAGACTCGACAACGACGACGACGACGACGATGATGCCGCCGCCGCCGCCGCTGCTCCTGCCACGTTGGAGTCGCCCTGCTTACAGGCGCACAGTACACGAACTCATACAGCAGCGGTAGCAGTAGCAGCACCAGGTTCACGCGGACGGAGATAAACAGCCGGTAATCAAACGAGTTTTCTCGCAGTCCGACACGTTTGTGCGTAGACGGCCATGGTGAAGCAGAACTCGTTTGTAGGATCTTCTCGTCCACAGCTATCTCCTTGTCCTCTAGCGTCATCCACCCCCCCTCAATAGACCAGCCGCCATCTTTCCCAACCGAACAACGCTACAAGAGTGAAGAACGAGCGGCGCACAGCCACGATCAACACGATGCTAGCGCCACCACCGTGTGCTGCTAGCGATTGTTCGTCACGGTGGCGATAGGCGATGTGTGCTAGCTGCAACTAGCATTAACAGCGGTGATGGCAGTAGTAGCAGTTAAGCTGAAAGGGCCTCGATGGACGCTGATCAACTTAGCCCGCTTTGTGGCTAGTGGTAGCAGAATCACCTCCTGAGCAGAGAGGCAAGCGTTAGTCGGGGTGGCAGCCACTATCGGTGGCAGCAGTAGATAACGCGTCGCTGGGGCGGTGGTGGTAGTGCCGCCATCATCGCCACTATTGCAAACTGCTGTCGTTTGGTGGAAATGGTAGAGGCCTCATTTTTGGCGCTGCTGGCAACAGCCAATATGGCGCAAGACAAAATGGCGGCCGGTAGCGGCTGCGACAGGCTAATGCTTTTGTCCACCATCATAGATAGTCGTGTAGCCATGACGCCAGTGTAACCTGGAGGTGATGCGAGCTGAACTGAACTGGGAGGCGTCCCGACGCTCTAGCTAACGCTCCGTTGCACCATACGAGTTGGTGGAATGGTAGTCGAGCGGTTCGCTGCAGCTTGTTCATCGTGCTGCTCGATGTTTGACGGCAGTTGCAGATGCGGCTGTAAGGCACTAGGCGACAACGCCCTCGTTGACGGTTTGTTCGCTAGCTGGCTCGCTTCATTCGATGCGTTTGAGCGTATGGCGTCGAGTCGGCTTGTAGCGGAGCATTTAGTTGACGCTCTCTGCTTGACGCCTTGAGTAGCCAACGGAGCAGCTTTGAATGAGCTGATTAACCAACGAATCATTGAGTCAGCTAGATGAGCGTCGGTCAGTCTTGTACGTACCAGAGAAGGAAGTGTGACCTCACTTCCAGCGTCTGCGGAAGCAAAAACGCAATGAACAACAATTTTGCTATTATCAAAACTGCTGCTCGTCCAGTAGTTAGTTAGTACGAAATACTTTTTAACCACGGCTTGATTGAAGAATTATTCTGGCTGAGGCTTTCCATAATGAATGCCACTCAGGTGAGCGTTACTCAGTCAATCGGATACAATATGCAGTTGCGGCAGCGGTAGTAGCAGTCTATCGGATTATGCAAACAAAAATATCGAGACGTAAAAAATGGATTATAAACACAACGAAGAGATCATGCGTATGTTTGTTAAAAAGGAGTAAAGTCTGAAGGGTGGTAACTGGTGTTGGCCATATCGACGAAATCCAACGGATACATCAGTAATGATAATAGTGCCGTACCTTGTCGTCAGTACGGTTTATAGTTGGTAAACGCGCCCTGGATACAATAAACCGCACGGATATTATCTCAAATGGATATAAAAACGTCGGGTTGCAGCCACTGCAGAGTATTGGATGTAGTCGACTGATGTAATCGCGACTAGTGAGGGAAGTTGGTATTTTGTTAGTGAGGGCGGGCGGGTTTCCCTGATGAGTTTCTACAATGAGTCATCATTATTTACAGTATTTCCTGGTGTAATACACCTATATGCGTAAAATGTTCTTACAGTTCATTAAAGAGGATTGGATGAGTTTTGTTTTCTATTATTGTCGGTTTAGGCGAAGTTTTGAGAAATTTATTAAATCTTGGTGGTATTTTAAGACTAGTTCTTCATAAATCAGTAGAAGTTTGTCTTTCGTGTAAGTGTCGTATGAAACGTATGCGTCATTGCTGCCGTTTAGTGACTACAGCGTTCACAACGAGTGATCTTGAATTCCAGTGTTGGTGAAGAAGCTGTCCCATTTTTGCTGAGAACGGCTTTTGTTTCTTCAAATCCAATTGCTTATGATTTTACTCATGCACAAAGCATTTCTCTTTCGAACAACCTGTGCTTTTCGAAGGGTCTTTGTGCTATTATGGTACGTCAGCAAGACACTCAACGTGGTAAATTTATCGTTATCCCTCTATCGGAGAAAAATAAGACCCAGTGTTTTCCCCTGAAAACTGGTCTACCAGCACAAGTTAATAACAAAAATTATGAATTAACGCACTCCTTTCATGACCCATTGTCTGATCACGTGGCATTTTAGAAGAATCATTGTGGGCCTTCGTTAAGAATGTGGCTAAACAATGAACAGCTTAATGAAAATTCAGTTTTTATTCTCGAGAACGAGTTCCCACCTTCCTATCCGTAGTTGGTTGGGCGTTGACTGTCCGCGTGGTCATGTGACCATCGTCCAAAGCAGTGCTAGTGGCGTTGCGCGTCTTGACCACTACGAATGGCCCGCAGATATCCGTTGGAGTCTGCTTTATGCGCACGTCACTAATGACGCATTTTATCGATCTAAGTGTCGATTGCCTTCAACTACGCGTTTTCCCAGCGTTCATGTTGATTCGATCGATTATCGTATCTGATTATTATTTCGAAAATTTACGTCTGTCAACTCTATTTAACGATCAGGGGATAATGGATGGCAAATGAAGTTATTACGATATTAATTGCTTTAGTCTGGTTAAGTTAATGCGTTCGCATTTTTCGCTTGATTAGTTGCTTTGTTGACTAGTTGCCATTTTTCCTCTCTGAGCCTTTGGAAACATTATCCAAAGTGTTTTACTATAATTATCTGGCTTATTAAACTGTACTATAGTGCAAATAGGTCGTTTCGATAGCTCATTGTAAAACACTGGTTAGGTTTAATGGCCATGATGGCAGACTTTAAAAAACTTTTTAAAAAGTGTCTTTTATAAAGAGCAAATATCACATGTATAAATAATTCGTATATATACACTTGAATAGCTTCGGAAAAATTATGCGTACTTTAATGCGTTTATGAAAGCCTATGCATATGAAATAAACAACTAGTTGTGTCGTTATTATTCGAAAAAATTAAGAAAGTTACAGACTACAGGTAAATTTGTTTACAACATGCACAACGTTGAATCGTTGTGAATCGTTACGAATATGCCATCAAAAATCGGTAAAAATACTACACTACTTTTGTTACTCTTTTATTTACTCTTTTATTATTAGTTTATTCTTTTATTATTACTCTTACCAAATTATTTTGATATCGCACAGATCAAAGATCCTTATTCGATAGTAATAATAATAATAATCAACGGGCCTTTTTCTAATTAAGAGGGCCTACTGATTCTAGGCCAGTCGGCACGAAATAATATCCCTTACATGAGTCCCTTAAATCACCGTATTTTCGTGTTTTTCATCTCTTGATCAGATTAAACTGCGCTCTGCAGAGATATAACGCAGCAGCTGTTGATGAAAACTTTCAATTGCGTTCCTGAGCTGTTGATGTAGTCCTAAGGGCACAATAAGTCCCCGTCAATTTCTTCTTTGCATACTCAGCAGGTAAAGAGCTGATGGTACGGGGGAGTACCGCTTCTTAGTGCGGCAGTCATGCGAAAAAAGTTCGGGTCTAGAGTTGTACAAAAGAATATTTTTAGCTATACTTCACCACAGAAACTTTGAGTAACTAAAAAGACAGCTTCCTTGCAAGAGCAGCGGAAGTCTTCGAGATTCTTTTTTGAGGTGTTATGATTAATACACTCGTCTAATATACACAGGCTCGATACGTCTTCGAAAAGATCTGAGTGCCACCTGAACTTTTTTGGGGCGTTTGGAAAAGACGCTATTATACACCGTTTGGAAATGCGAAAGGATAAGGCGATACGATTTGCCAGTAAATTTGATTTTCGTTGGCATAAACTACAAGCCCACTTCTCTGTACTTCTTTTACGGGGACCCTTCCCGGCGATGCTTCTGTTTTTTTTTTTCTAAAACGCAACTTTGCCATAGTACAATAAGAGAATAACATACTTTAAACTTTGGTGTAATTTCAGTTTATATGTTCAGAAAAGTCACAAACAGGATACAGAAGCTAAATCGTAGTAATTGCGAAAATTGTTTATCTTTTCTTAACAAAAACTTGAATACTACCAAACACTTAAAATTGTTCGAAGTGATAGCACTTCTCCACAAGGACGGGTAACATTCATCGTATAGTCCTGATAAAGCGAAGAGTCATATGTAGACACGTTAGTCTACATATGACTCTTCGCTTCGTCTTTTTGTGGAAGTCGTATATAACTATTACAGCAATTTTTCGACTTCAGTAGTTACATACTCCATTCACTGCATTCAAATTGCTTGGGTTTAATATGTCCGCAGGAGATTCATCGCATTGTGTTTCGTCATTAATGCATTTCATTTAAGTTAGTTGAACTAATACTGGTCTGTAAATGACTATTTGCTCTTGGAAACGTAAAATATCCACGACGTCATATTAGTAACCATAAAATAGTGATGAACCCTCACGCCACTAGGCTACATTGAAGAATGAAATGTAAAAACTGTTACTACTAACAAATAACAAGCACTTCGTCACGTATAGCCTTTTTTACTCTGCAGGGTTTTTTATCCTGCAGTTTTCTAATTGACCTGACATTGATTAGGATCTGCTCAGTATGCGCCATATATAAAGTTTATCCTATTTGCTCGTGCATGTTGGGTTTAAATATGTATGTTGACAACCGAGGTTAAACAAGGTACTTCTGGCTCGTTCAGATAAGGGTGCTTTGCGTTATATTTTAATTTTGTAGCGAAATAAATGTTTGCGAAGCGTGTCAACTGTAGTAGTGGATACCTCGTGGGCTATAGCTCCCGGCAAGGGGTAAGACAGCCCAGACTAAGCAATCATAGTTAACTCTCCAGTACAAGAAAGGGCCCTTTTTAGCTGATCGGGTGAACATATTAAAGAGTATTTGCAAAAAAGGTCTACGTGGAAATTTGAAGATGCTTGTTTATTTTTCCTGGCTTCTCTCTGGAAGTATGGTGTATCCTTGTCTTTTTTTAGACTAGACTTTTACTGCGTGCTCTTGAAACTCAGCACATGCCTTCAACTACTCTGGATAAGCCTAATTTTTGACCACACTACTATGCGATCGAAGCATTTCTGGCGATCGCCGCACTATTATCAATGTGCACGTTGCCTCTTGCCTGTATCAGGTCTGTGCGTTTTAGGTTTCCCGTACCTGTTAGGAGCGATTAGGTCCGTGGTACCCATTGAGACGTTATTCTTTAGGAGAATATTAATTAAACTTCGGTCAGTGATAAAATTCCAGTTTAAACAAACGATACCTCATAAAACCACTTATTATATAACAGGGCCTCTAATTAAGTTTTCTGAACATTCGAATGATCGCACCCGAAAAAAAATTGGAACATTTAGGACCGTGTTTGCTGATCTGCGTTGCATTTATACGCAAAGCTAGGGTTTGGTAGTTAAAGTTCTCATCCTAGATGCCCAGGACTCGATTAATTTAACGACAGAAGTTTCGGCCAACATATAGCGTATAAAAAAATCGCTTTTACGTAAGCATCCTGTGGTACAAGGGCGACTTATACCTAGGAAAACAGAATAATTGAAAAAAAAATCAATTATTTCATCCGGCAATAAACAGTTCTCACAGCCATTCTTAACTCAAACAACTGCACGAAAGCACTTCCATTTGTTGCATCTAAATCATTTGTAATGAACGTTTTTCATACTGCATAGTTTTGTATTAATTTGGTACGATATGTTTTTACGAAGAAGATATCAATAGAGTGTAAGACCGCGAGTCCGGAGCTAGTTTGATTTTCCAGGTGCTGTGTCAGATTGTCATAATATTGCGGTTTTAGTATCCTGTTGACGTCCGAAACTTGCCCAGCACTTGTGAGGGCAGACTCCTAGAATAATTTCCGCAGATTTCCGAGAAAGTGCCAATTACTTGCACTAACAGCACTGGTAATATAGTAGTTTTGAACTCACGATATGTCGGGCGGATTGAGGCATGTGGCCTGTAAGTCCTCCTTAAACAAAAAAGCATTAGGAATCTATTATACTCACGTTTGAACGACTTCTGAGTTTCTTCATGGAACTTCTAAACTTCATGGAATTACTAGAAAGAGCAGATCAAGTAGCTGCAGATAATAGCGCCGAGGTTTACTTTGTACTCTCAGCCATTAACATCGATATCCATTGAGCTTCGTATGATGATTTTTTGTGAAGGATTTCAACATCAGATATGTCGTAGTTAAATAGTTTCGAGGTTACTGTGATCATACGGCGCTTTAATCCATGTCGTGTGAAACATGAGCGAACAATATTCGTTTGGAAAATTAGTTTTTCCATTAAACTTGCACGAGCTAGACAAAACGTATTAATGTTTTTACACAATATTTTTCTAGTAGGATCGGCCAGTTTTGCCGTTGTGCCATATGCAGAGCATATACTCTATTGTTATTTACCTAATGGTACAATTTCCGGAGTTAACGGAGGAAATACAGTTACCGATAATTATCCCAAACAAATTATTTACACGTAATTACTGTATCGTACTTCGAATCTAAGCATTATTTTAAATAATATGGACCAAATTAATAGTCGCAGTTAAATGAGAATATAAAGCTTTAAAGAAAAGCTTTATATTCTTGTATAGCGGTTGGAGGTAAAGTGAAAAAACAAATTAGAACGAATATCGGTATGGAACTGGACAACGATGAAATTGTGATGAAGGTGCACGAAATGTATTGGACTTTGGTTAAACGCGGGGATAGTTATTTGGTTTACTTCGACTTTACAGAACACAGAATTTTATGTGATCATATAATCATGATACGTCATAATGTAATCATATTTCCTCCACCATGATTCAACACCATGTCTACGCTTAGAAAGTTGTCGCGAAAAGTACGCGAAGTCCCGAAGTTATAACAGCCTATAGTTTTCGCTTCGAGAGATGTTGCGTTGTGTGGAATTCTCATAAGAGGCAGAATTTCCTCGCAACACAGGAGACCGGAAACCAATGCTTCTAGTACCTCTGCAGTACATTCAGTACATACCCTTGTAGACATCGGACTGGTTTTCCCATTGAGAGTGAACTCCATGTCGATGGGAAAGACCTAACACTTCACTATTTTAACGTTAACTATTTTTGGCATAACATGTTCTACCATAATTTTGCTTTGATAAATTTCAGCTAACAATGAACTATGTAAAGGAAAACAGCTTTACTTCAGTTTCATCAGTTTTATTTTCCGTAATTGCTTGGATGTTCCATTGCGTCCTTATTCGCCGTTCGTTGAGCATTGCCCATTACTCTTACCCTCAAAAACTTACCACGGGCTTGCTGAATGGCCTGTTTACGGTCACTAGCCCTGACCAAAAAAGAATGTCTTGTTCGTCTGTTACCTGTGTGTGTTAAGCGAGGCGACTCTGTGTGTTCTTTATCATGTTTGCGTCACCAACGTGGATGTCTGTTACCAAGGTTTTCGTGGTACCTCCTCTTCGAAATAATCTTCGTGTTCTTCTCTTTCGACGGTAAAACAGTTCCAAAAAGGCATTGGTTGTTTCCAACCGCAGCCAAGGTGAGGATTGTTATTAAACACCCGCAAAATAGGGTGTTATATCGGTAAAGTGAAGGGTTTTTTTAAATAGGGCTTCGCAAAGGGCAAACCACATACAGTTAGTGCATGCAATTCCATAGTTAATAGCGGTAGTTGATAGGATAGGAAGTTCAGAGAGATTTAAGGATAGGGATTTGTGGAGCAGGTTTAGCAGTTAGTGCAATGACGAGTGTTCAGCAGACTTCGCGAGATCGTACGCATAGAGAACGCTTTACCAAGGGAAGTCAGCTGTCTCACCAACTTACGAATAGTCAAGCAGGCATTAAGCGGCGCTCAACCGACCCCGAGAGGTTCAGCGTACAGGGCCCAACATCGGGGCTCTACCTGCGACGGTCTGCTGAACACACTCGCTGGCGACGCGGCGCAGTACGTACCGTGACTCGGTGGGCTATTTTGGAACGAGGTGCCTGCAAGAGCTGCGGCAGTACTCGCCCCTTGAGGGAAAAGGGAAGACAACGCATCAGCTCCGGCTAAAGCAGCGGCGGCAGCAGCAGAGGCAGGTACAATAGCCCCCGTTGGCGTCGCCCCGCCTTCGTCCAAGGTGATCAGGGGTTTGATATCTGTTACAAAAAATATTTCGACAATATAGGACTACACTTTCGAATTTCTTCGTCTGTGCAGCATCGCTCTGATAGTTCTCTCAAACCTTACAAAAATAATAATACTTAAAGAAATAATACTCAAACGTTATAGAATACTCAAACCTTATAGAAATAATAATACTCAAACCTTATAGAAATAATAATACTCAAACCTTATAGAAATAATAATACTCAAACCTTATAGAAATAATAATACTCAAACCTTATAGAAATAATAATACTCAAACCTTATAGAAATAATAATACTCAAACCTTATAGAAATAATAATACTCAAACCTTATAGAAATAATAATACTCAAACCTTAAGAAATAATAATACTCAAACCTTAAGAAATAATAATACTCAAACCTTACAGAAATAATAATACTCAAACCTTACAGAAATAATAATACTCAAACCTTACAGAAGTTTTGGAACTTACCCAGTTCATTATTAGTCGAATTGTTGTCCGGTCCGGTCGTGTTATTGAGGTTGTCAGTCGAGTCGTCGCCACCTTGGTCAGTCGTCATCGAAGCTTCCAATAAACGGCTGGGTTCAAAATCCCCACCACCGGTATCCTTCGACGATGGTACTTGCCCGTTAGAGTTCGCGGCTGACTTGTTCGTGGCCGTCGTCTGTTCGGCGGATCGACTGTTTTTGGCCGAGGCACTGGCAGACGCCGGGGATGAGGTGCTATCTACATTTGTTTGTACAGGGGCGGTCTCCTTCTTACTTGCACGCTGCAGGGAGGCCTGAGATCCGTCATCGTGCGATGATGCACCGTCCATCGAGGACTCATCTTGGAGGTCTGTGCGACTGGTTTTCGGCACCGACTCCTCGGAGTCTGATAGCCCATCACCGGCGCCAGCAGAGTCCGTGCTCCTTCGACGCGCCCGCTGTCTTTTCCGCCGTCCAGAATTAGGCGACTCGGGTCGGGGTGTGGCGTTCGCGGCTGATCTTGCCTGTTGCTGTTGGCTGTTACTACTTCCGCCACCGCTGTCATCCTTGCTTTCGCCAGTTACCTCGGCGAGACCCTTGATCTTAAGAGCCTCGGCTGTCTTCAGTAATGTAGGCAGCTGTTCTTGAACTACGTTCACCTCGCCTTTGTACATGAACTCTACCAAGGCTTTGAGATCTGCGTATCGGATGTCTTTCAGTATCACAATGGGGTGCTTGCAGGGATTCTCGGTGAACAGTCCTTCAAAGAAGGGACTGCACGCGGAGAGCACCACCTTGTGGGCCTTCATCTGTCGGCCCTCGCACCCGAGCGTTACATCGACTAAGCTCTTGTTGCCGAGTAACCGCTCGAATACGGCGAGCATATTCGCTTGGTGATTGTTCCATTTTAAACAAAACTGCTGAGCATTGCTGCCCATCTTGACAGCCTTTTTTGTACCTCCTGCAAGCGAATATACATCGCAAAACCCAATAATAAGTATACGCTTTTATTAATAAAATAATAGATATAAGAAATGTTATCCCAACAATAATAACCGACTTCGCGATACGAGTTTATTATGGTAAAACAATTCAGTCGACCTGAACGGAAGTGTTCGTTTGGGGTGGTACTGTTAGGCTTAATGGTAACGGCTATTGCAATTTAAAACAACGAACGGCCCTGAACACCTAAACTAAAAAAGTAATCAAGAATATTCGATTGCAAATCTTTGTCGATTATAACCTTATGGTAACTCGACGATATGTGAGGCGACAGTATTAATCACAAGTTAAGCCTTGTTCCACTTAGACTGATGGATGTCTCAAAAGCGTTATAGACGCCTACTCACAACAGCTAACTAGGAATATTAAATTTCAAAACTGCTGCACCACACCGCTACACCGGCCTCAACTTCAGACACGCTAGCATGAATGCTAGAAAAGGTGCTATGAGCAAATAGATTTAATTGCAAACCAGCAGACGTGTCATTCAAGCCAATAGGTGGGCATGAAATTGGCCTACTACCCCTTAGGCCTAATTCGCCATTGAACTAAGTATCCGAACAAATAGTTTCTAAAGCTCTAGAATAAAAAGCTATCGTTCAAAACTAAATTGCCACTTTTACAATAAGCTTGCATTAATATATAAACGCATCACATATGACTACAACTGTACCGAAATCGCACTTACCGACTCAGCTACGTATCATTGCTCTGCGTGCTGCCTAAGAGGTCTTAACACGACCGAAGTTTGGGTTGAAGTGTTCGCTAGTCGGTCAATCGCACAGCAGCTTGGAGGCGCTCCTCGTTGTTGCCGGAGGCGGATCTGGCGGGCAGCGTCGGCTATCGCAGCGACCCCTGGTGAATACCCACCCAAGCGTCGCCCACGCTTTTCTCGCTAGAGCTTTACTCTGAATACGGATTGTGCATCGTGCGCTTCATGCTCCATCGATCGAGCAGCCTACAAATGCAGCGATTTTAAGTAAATTTCATCGGGGCAACACAAACCAACTTTTAAGCGAAGCATCTTTCAGCTCTATAACGCGCCATGCCACAGAGTGAGCCCGCTAAATCAGCGGGTTGGATTGGCGTCGCTCAACATCTACGTTAAGCATTGAATATATATGAAAATACATATATTAAACGTATATTCGTAAACAGAATGTATTTTTCTTTATTATTGAAAGCAACGAATTAATATTAGAAATAAGTGGAATATTATGCAGATGCAATAAACTTCCTAATAATTTCGGGCCTGAAGCTACGGGTGTAACACTGACTAACCTGCATTTCTCAGTCGAGTTTTGAGATTCTGTCGAATACCTTAAATATACCTTAAAAATGTATTCTAAAAACCATGTCATGTGTACTAGGCGATAAATAGATGGATGCTCATAATTCATCTTTTGGGATAAAACATATTCTCAAGAGCTTTAGACTTCTCGAGCCAGTGGTTCCGGAGATAATCTATATATGGATTGCTTATAATGATAAAATGTTTCAGGGCTCAACGTATTATTTATTTATGATTTTTAGAACTCGGCAACAATTCGGTCGTTCGTTATCACCTTACCACCAGCTAACACTTGAGTCCGCAACTAAGCAGTTAATCATTAATTGCTATGGTACCAACTGCCATTATAACACATTGTCGTAAGAATCACACGAATTCTTAAGAAAGAATTTGCCTTAAGGAGCGACGTTCACTCGAACAATTTAAATTAAATTAAAACATTACCGAACGTTCGACACTATTAATGTAGTTGTTTATTATCCATTAGCACCAAACAGCTGACACATGGACCATCATAAAGGCACTTTTTTAATTGTCGCCATATGCACTTTTATATTCAGCAAGACAACTCCATTGGCAAACCAACAAATACCGCGCAGCTGATATCGCATACAAACAGGTGAGTACCATGAACAGCTATCTCTAAACTCGGCCTAAGCTTTAGAGAACTGGTGATAGCAGGTTGGGTCTATGCGATCCATCGTGATTCGAATGTCCCTGTTTTTAGTGCTGCCGTTACAGACCGTTGAATATCCGCACGAAACAAGCTGTGTCTTCACCTGCTGTCGAATCTGAATTATTTCACGTATCGCTAAGTATAGTAGACAAACACGTTACCGCTGCACATTCAGTGGGATATCAATGAGACCGTGCTCAACTAGGCTATTGTTCAGTTGGGTCAAAAATGAAAAAGTGTATAAAACAAAGATAACAAGCAGATTCAAGTAACTTCTTATATGCATAAGCTTCTAAAAGTACTCTACTATTTCTATCAATTTTTTTTACTTAATACTTTTTCTCTTAATGTTCAATGTGAATAACGTAGACGTTTGTAAAGGGTGACGTTCTTGCCGTTATTCTTAATTCAGTAAAAAATTATTTATTATCTGATGCATAATACTAAGCTAGTATCTACGTAATGTCTGCTTTTATTTATTGCTTTTCCAGACGATCCACAAACATATAATATATATGCTTATGGATCGTCTATTATATATATCCTTTGTATTTGCAAGTGAGTTCCGATTTTGCCCACAACATATATTACGCATATTCGCCGTCCTAGAATATAAAGTGGCAAAAAGCAAAACTTTTGGCACCGGCAATCTAATCCTCTTTTGTAAATGGCTTACAGAGTTTACCACACGAATTTGTAAAAGCAAGTGAAGGGCTTTTTTGTTCGGAAGTGCGAGTTTGGAATTTTGCAAGCTACATTTGCATAGTATACTCTGCTGAGGAGTTCTCATCGTGTACGCCGCGTTTGTTATAGCTGTGCTCGATAGCTTTTCGACCTCGATAAAACACCATCAAGATAAGCCAGAAGTTCTCTTTTCTGTCAAAAAACACGTGCGCTTCTGAAGTCCTAAATAAAGGTAAAATTTTACTAAGCAAACAAAATAAATACTACAAAGTGACGGAGCAAAGAGAGCGCTTTCTTACAGTATGTAACAGTATATACCGAAAGAGATATCGCATAATAAAGAAAAAGACTTAAAAAGGGATCTAACCTAATAATAATGCTAGATACTTCAATAAGAATACTTATGTTATGCATACGTATTCATGATATAATTTAAACGTATTTCAATCTATGTATCTTATAATGTATCTAATGCATCTTGGGTTCATATTTAGTCTCAAATTGTTTCCGTTCAAAAAACAGATTAGATTTACGATCATTTATAAAGCCATTTAGTGGCATTTATAAATCCCCGATTAAGGATTATTATAAAATAATAATCATTACAGAATAACAATGGCCGCAGGAAAACGATTGTGACTTCTGTAATATCATCTTAATAGATGAATACGCGACGAGCGTGATTATCGGCAGTGTTTGGATTTAGTCAATTTCAGTAGCCATAACAATCACAACGATATTTTAGCGCGTACGGTGGGTTGCGAAACTTATGGAATCGATAGTCAATGGAAGTAGATATTTATGATACTACCTTAAAAAGTCCATAATACGAATAATACATCGTTAATCTCATAACTTAACGTGATTAAATAACATCAGCGAAACCCTCAAAAATTATATGTGAAATAAACATGAATTAGTGATTACACAATTACTTAGTTTTTGATTCAAAGTGTGCTCAAATAAGTGAATTAAGAATATATTGGGTTACGCGATATACATATGTATATTTCGTCATTTCGGCTAATACGAAACAACCGCAGCTCACTGAATACGATTCTAACAGACAATAAAGCGTATCAGTTGATACAGGTGCTACTGATATTAATTGAATAGTACTTTTTGCAACGTAGGTACAAACAACATATGTTCTACAATCGTAGCTTTAACAGCTATAGAAGGTAAGTCTAATATTAAATCTGTCGGCAATGAAGTTATACCCATTCCAAGTTAGTCTAATATATTTCAATTATTAAGATGAAAACAACGAGCTTGGACCTAGGGCGTATGCACTACTCGGGACGCGAGTCGACAATCAACTTAGACATATGAGCCATTGTGTAGTTCAGACGAAAATCTTAAGCTTTTATTGATTTTTGGCGCAATCACAATGTGAGGTTAGGAATGATTACCTCTTGCACTAACATATTAACGTTTGCCCAAAATAATAACGTAGCCCGCATCCGTTAAGCTTAGTTGAAATACGAAAACTTCCGAACGAAAAGACGTGCAGCTATAGGCCAGATAAATTATGTTGTGCGTGATGGTGAAGATTTTTCAGTTTTCTTTGAGCATATATACAGTGCATTGCTGATTCGTACATGGCGCGATACGTAGCTCTGTGTAAATGTTTAAAGAATAAGAATCACTCGATTTCCACTTATACAAAGAAAATCGAGTGATTCTTGGGATGGCGAGTCAGTATAAATTAACCTTTTCAGGACACCGCAAATGTATGAAAAACGGTATTTATTACATTAAATACTACTTTGAGTTATTTCCGTGCACAGATCATAATTCTAATATAATCAACTCATAAGCGATCCATAAACACATAGAAGTGTTGGAAAACATCTACAACGTTTAAGCGAACTACCTAGTATTTTGGCGAAATATTACGACGCCACCCTAACTTTATAATAACTATTCTCGCGATTCAAAAAGTTGTAGCGATGAACCACGTTTGATCGAAATTTTCAGAAATGGGGCATACACACTTTGCCCGCAAACAGCTCAGAAATGACGGTCACCCAAAGAGCAAGTATGAACAGTATGTACGAAATGCCGACTTGATGCGAGGAAGGCAACTGGTATGCTTCTCCACCGATTTGTTCGGTGCCAAACCCCACGGGAAACACGACAGCTGCAATGCAGAATAACACCTAACACAAATATGCGGAAATAGTTAAAGTTAGACAGCGTTCATACATTAATCGGTTGATCATTCACTATCGCTATACTTAAACGGACGCAAATGTATTTTTAAAATATATGTATTTCCGAGATCGAGTGTGCGAAAATAATAGCATCCAGTCAGCCGGTTCACCGCCAGCGGTCGAACCCTGTCATTGCCGCAAATTAGTCTTGCTCGACCAAAGTCGTCCAGTGAGGGCGAAACGCAAAAGAGCCTTGGGTGTAGTGATAATAGATCCCAGAACAATGGCTTGTGAACCAAGTAGCGCAGAGAATTACAAATGCTTCATAGAAGCCGCATCTATGGGGTGCAATCCTGCGACAATAGGGACTGATGCGTATTAGAGGTTCGGGGACAAGGTCGTCGACCGCTTTCGGGAGGAAAAAAATCAGGTCGTCCGTTTAGATTTGGGAAGAATGGTTGATAAATTTCGTGTAGACCAAGCGACGCGGCAGTAAAGCTAGGTTTTCAAGTTTTTATAGCGACAGACGACCAAGTCGATCCCTTTTGCTAGTTACATAACAGTAGCACGAGTTAGTTCCTATGCGGAGTTACTATATAGTTCAGTACTACTTACCGAAAAGACCCCATGCGTTAAAGAGATCTGATTTTCAACCCGACAAGCAAATGCGATGGGTCTCAGGAATGGGCTACTGGCATCCTGGGGCGCTAGAAATCATTTTCGGTTGTCGCGTTAACATTACCTAAAGTCTCAGCACTGTACGAGTGCAAGAGAAACGCGCATATTATTAGAAAAACCGAAAACCTTCGTTTGAAGGCTTCCCTCGCGGCAATGGTAACAGCATACCAAACAGCGAGCTCTCATCATTCGTCTATAGTAAGTGTACTCAAGAAAAAATTGGAAAGTGTACTGGTTTATGTTTCCGAAACAAGCTTTGCCACTTCAAAGCGCAGAGGTTTCATCCGGCGCTTCCGCGGCAGGCCGAGGTGCTAATGTTCTCAAGCATCAGAGACGCTCATCTAAACGCTTCTCAGGCTACATGCTAATTAAAAACACAATATTATATAGAAAGAGAAATTTTTGGGCTACGTGAACTATAAATGGTAAAATAGAGACGATATAAGAGATACAACATTTAAGTTTTTGAAACCATTTATGGAATATTCCTCTAGCCTCATTTGTCATTTGCAAATGGAAAAATAGGCTAATTTTAGAAACGACATGTAAAAACTGCACCCTATGGCAAGCTCTGACTTTTTAGGACATGTTACGAGTAATTTTGTTCAGTGAGACTCCGCAAATTGCTGCAATTGCCTGCCAAATGTATGCTGGTAGAAAGGTAGGCTAATCGGAACGCCAGTGAAACCAGCCGTCAACCACCATGAAGAGTTAAACGTGGGTTCTGAAGCGCACGAACCCCTGAATTTGTAACATGCCCGTAGCCGGGTGCGAAAGGTCTGGCAGAGCAAGGCGTCGCTGACCACTGACAAGGTTTGTGGCAGTTTCTTTGGCAAGTCCAGTATAACCGCGTCGTTCAGTAATAGATTGATCCATAGAACTTAACCCAGTTAAAGATTTCGCTCACGAACTTACATAGCGATATAGCACGGCAACACAGCGAGATGTGAAAACAGGATGGCCGTGAAATATCCCGCCGGTGCGGTAGCGTTAGCTGTCTGAAACGGGCTGGGACAAATGCTTATTTTTTTCTACTTAACCCTACCAGTTCCCGTATGTGAGCCTTCGGAATTACCTATTTTCATATACAGCATCTAGGACATGCCCCACTAAGAGTTTTTAAGGACTTAAGATATTTCACATTAGAATAAATGATGGGTGAGCGTTAAGGCGAAGCAAAAATAAAGATACAATCGACGTGTTACAACATATACACAGTTAAAACGTATGTTCGGCGCGTTACATTATATACATATCTAGAACGTATGTTCTACGGTCTACGGTTCAATAGGTCCTTGCCACACATTTGCACTACAGATAGGATTGCGCTTCATCAGTCTCACCATGGCTGCAAATCCCATCCATCGGGCATAGTGGACAATCCCAAGGTTTCGATGAGAGATGGCTAAAAGGATCGTTGTAGCCGTGATGCAGATGCAGCCAATGATGATACAAACCTATTAAAAATTAAGCCAAATTTAAGCAGATTTGCCTCAGAACGTCTCGATACAAATTAGCCTCTGAAATGTCTTAAAAATCAAAGAAAGTGTGAACGACACGAAAAAGGTGAAAAGCTTTTAACTATAAGGATGCTCATTAAAGCGGTTTAAAAAAATTTGCAGTTAGTGAGTTAAGTGTTCAACGTACTAGTGTTAGCATCCATTCAGGCTGGAGCTTTGGGGGGTAACAAGTGAGACCTGGTCGGCCGTTGATGGAAAGGCATGTCTGAAGCAGTCCGAGACGAGTATCACCTGTAGAAAAATCAACAACGAGTTAGAAATAGGTGATGTTGTGACAACCCAATAAAAAACGTTTTCCATAGCAGACATTCCCAGCTCTCATTTCTATGACAGGTTTCAATGCCGTTGTTTAGCTTCAAGGAATACCCAGGGTAGGGAAAGGACCGAACAGAAGAAATTCACTGTTTTGTTTATTAGTCGAATTTCACTAGACGGTAAAAATGTGTCTACTCAAGAATTCGAACCTAAGTTGCTTTTGTTGGTTAGCAGATCTGATATCACTGATGCGTTCTACGAACAGCAAATCAGGCAACACACTTGTGTTTCCGGTCGTAACGTTGATCAATCCGTACTTTTGTCATTAAATATTATGTCTGAGTATCTTCAAATGTGATTTATAGCTAATCAGCTGATTCTGTTGCTTAAATGCTGTTCAAGTTGTCCTCCTAGCAATTGTCCTATCTATCGTCGATTAGTTTGTTTTACTTGAACGATACTTTATTGTAAGAAAGAACAATCCAGTGAATGCCTACTACATAAATATTAACTCTCCGAAAACCGTTTAACATAACCCACTATTGTAATTTTGATCTGTACTTATTCTTTGGTATATACATATAAGTGGTGTATATATATATATATATATTTATTTATATATAAGTTCAGCTAGTCAAATACCGCAATATAAGATAGACTACCTGCATTCTGTCTATTTTAGTTAAAAATTACATGTAAGTTAAAAGTAGTTCCAAGCAATGGCGTTCGCGTAGGTCTTTCTTAAAATATTGTGGTAATCTCAATTAGCACATGAACAAGAAATGTTCTGAATTTATTCATACCAACCACCGACTTCACTGACGATCCACTCAGGTAGAACCAGGCTGAGGATAGCAAATACATTCGCACTGAGAAACAGCGTGCCCGATACCAACGTTAGCTTATCCATCATTAAAAACCACCTGCAATCATTTAATAGATACACAGAATAACGCATTGTATATGGCATGACATTTTAACATGATGACAAAAAAATGCACAAATAATCCACTCGAACATGAGATAAAATAATTATATTATATAAATGATAGTGTATATTAAAAGACATTTTATTTGCATGTGAGAAAAGCCTTAGCAAGATCGGGCTGTAAGTTTATGCGGCGAACCCGGTCAGCTGCTTGCACAATTAACCATAAAAATGAGTCTATTTTAATAGATGGGTGGAATAAGTGGTTATTTCTCGAGTACATATATATACGTAATCCTCAAATACTAAATACTTAATTCCGTTATAGTAAGTAGTCACTAATCTATTACTTTAGTTAAATTAAAATTAAATAAATTAAAATTAAATTAAATTAAAAACTTAAATTTACTTTGTGATATGCTTTTTCATGTTTGTATTAAGTAATCTAGCTATCACCATTTTTATTGTGAAAATACTGTGAAAGACTGTGAAAATAAAGCATACCTCTTAGGTTAAAGTTTATGCCGTACAGCTCTAATATACCAGATAACGAGATCCCAGATTAGAGTTAGCGCACTTACTTTTGATAAAAGCGGCACCAATTAATGAGTTCGCGGTGAAAAGTACCATCTAAAATAACTTGCCCAAGGGCTCATGTTCACCTGTGTACCGTTCCGTCATAATATTCAGAGGCCCTGTTCATTTGCTACATTCCAGTATCCTAGCGGTCATCATTAACGGAGGCACCGCTTGATGGGGCTGTATGAACCTTGATGGTCGTTGATCTACACAAAAGCGAATCTGGTATTGTTGGACCCTCGATTTCACAGTTGGATCCACAAAACCGGTTAGTTTCAGAACTTTCGTTACGCATTAGTATTATTATCCGGGAAAATAGAATAACTGGGTTAAGTCCCCTAATGTAACTCTACGTTCTGAAGTTTCATTGGGGCTAAGCAGTGGTCGGGTGATTTGGCGAGTAAATCAGTCATAACAATTTATAAGGGTTATAAGCGAAATGCAGTTGATATCTTAATATAACTTTATACCACCAGAACAAGTTAATTTGAAGTATTTCAAACATCTTCGAATAGACTAATAAAAGCTATATTGCCAAAACAAGGTAGAAAGGATGACATAGATTTAACTGAAACAGCACAGTTAACAGTAAAAAAAATAGATACACTTTTTCTCTACACAAAATCATCTACTAACGAAATAACTGCACGAAAATATAACTTTGAACAAAATATACCCCAGTGACAAAAGGAAAAATATGAAAAAGCCGCTACACTCTGATAGTTTTACGTTATTGAGCTTACATTAATTAACCGTTTGCTGGTCGTAGAAAATTTTGTACATCAAATGAACAAAACCAATTTTTTGTGAGTCTTGTTAAGTTCAATTAATTGTCTATTCCTGACGATATAGATTAATATAACCCCTGTTAATCAGAATTCGCTTTCAAAGACTGAAGTAACTCCCTGCACTGAGAAGATTAACGAATTTGCTATTTTCGATTGTCAACGTTTTGGCTTGGGTAATAAGCTTAGCAGCTAAATATTACTTTGTGAGAAAATATAATAATAATAATAGAAATAATTAAGAATAATTAAAAATTACTTTGAGAGCCTTATGACAACATAATCAATGTGTTTACGTCTCTAGCTATGGGCTTTGCTAAAATTTGTGATTATATATATATATATATCCATATACATGTGAAAACATGGCAATAAACAGAGTCGAAATTGGTATAACGGAAGATATAATTGGACGAGATTTTTGCATGTTCTTAAAAGACATTCTTCACGAACGTATTTATAGCGTAACTGCTATTAGCCGTTTCGATATTACTCAGAGTATTTTGACAACGTTTCTAAATTTCAAATAAGTTTTCAATGGCGTTACTCTCAAGTTTTGGCCAAACAGGCCATGCACAAAGAACCGTCTTCTCTTAGCTTGACTATAGTCAAGTATGAAAAATGGCTAATTAAACTTCTGCGATTTTACTCAGTGGTTGATACCTTCTTAACTTCATATTATCGAAGACAGTAGTTTCCTTAGATGTTTTTTTAGGAGTTCTGCAATATTCTCTTGAGCCCCTACACACTTCTCGAAGAAATGAAACCCTTAGTCCATAATTTGCTTCTTATAAATACGCCATGAAAGTAGGCCCTACAAATTTTAAGTGTTCTCTCAACGTCTGCTACAATACGAAATGTACTTCATTTTGAACCTTAACCAAAATAAATGCTTCAAATTTAAGGCAACCCGAAACCTGGGTATGTTTTTTAGACCCAACGTGAGTACACTACGTTTCTACAACGAATCACATGCTCCTTACCGTTACTATCTTTCAAACATTTCTAACGATCTACATATTTTCTGTACTGCTAAAACTGTGTCGGTTCGTTTGCCAGACAGCTTCAAATTGATTCGACCGATTTTTTGTGGATCAGTAAACTTTTGTCATGAGATGAATTCGAAAAGGAATTTTCCGTAACGCGTGGCGTTAATTTGGTTTGTCGTTCTAGTATCAAGTACTTTAATTTTCCACATCTGAAAAAATACGCTGGTATGTAGTTTATACAGGTAAACTATGATGTGCTTAATTGCAAAACAGGCGCGGTACGAAGCCTACAAAGTCTGTGTAGTAACCTTTTTTCCATATTCCCAAGAAAACCGGACGGCAGTCAAAGTAAAACTGCGGCCGAGTAGACATATTGTTTAAATCTTGTAAACTAAATGTGCTGTTGGATAAATGAAAAAAAGCTCCCAAAAATCCGCGCGAAAGTTGCGAAACCAACCTTTGATATCTGCCTCTCGTCGTCTTTTGAAATCACCCGGCAAAGCTCCTTAAGGGAAGCAGAACAGAGTGCCATTGAATCACACGAAAAGGCGCGCTGAACAGCTGAGATTTGCATTGCCTAGCTAAAGATCTATGACTGACCAGCTGATTTTGGCCAAGCCAATTGTTACTCTTATGAAAGCTTCTAAATAGATGTCTCGGGTCTCATTTCCGGTCCGACAGCTGAAATTAAGCATTGCTTGTGACGGCTCTCACCTTGGATTTCACGACCAGCCATGTGTTGACACCCGGTTTCGAACGCATATTCTGCGGCTAACTGAGAACATTGGAAATCATCCATCCATTCGCTGAATGTATTGGTGGAAGCGCAAGCCCAGATAGTACAGGATCTCTGTTGTGGTCGTTGCGTTTTGTCCGTCTATTTATCCATCCGTCGGTTTGTATGTATTTTGTTTGTAGCGAGGGCTGATGCGGGTGCAATCGAGTTTTGCTGGCGAAGCACTGTAGCGGCAGCAGCTGCAACAGCGGTAAAAAAAGAGTTTCTTCGCAAAAGACATCTGGTGCATAATGTCGTACAACTACATTGTCACGGCTCACAAGCCAACTGCAGTGACCGCTTCGGTAACAGGTTAGTTAATGTCTATAGTTGCTTGTTTAGGAGGGATGGAGCCGGCGTCGGAAAAAGGATGCACTAGGCCACCAACCCATTTATTGGCTGCGTGAAGTGTCCTAGAAGAAAACGATAAACGTTGCACTATAAGCAATACACAATAAGCACGACTCACGTGCGTTTCATATGTTTGATTACATACGCTGCATCTAGCCTAGCGACAGATAAAATACAGAAATTGACGCAATAATAGAATAATAATTATAATGAAAATAAGAGTGATGAGCAGCAATTGTTCGACTAAATGCGATAATTGGGTGTCATAGGCGCTGGCCGATTCGGAAGGTAGTTTTATGCTGTCAGGTACGGTGGATTTGGCAGAATTGAGTACAGTCTGTTAGATAGTTAAAGAGATAACGAGTGAAACAATGATCGTATGGGACAGTTGAGATATGACCGAGCTTTATCCTCGCTCTAGCGCTAGCAGTTTTCTATGCCTATTTCTATGAAAGACTGTTTAGATTATATTAAGGAACAACTCGCAATAGTCATGCATGTAGTAATTTTTGTGTATATACGCGTGTTTGCTTCATAGTAATTGGCGGAATGAAAAAAAAAATTAGACTAAGTGTTAAAATTAAACAAATTTATTTTGTAATAATCTGCGAGGGTCATTTTCTTCTATTTTACGTGTACGTCTAGGTGTGTACTTGGTTGTTTATATATTTTTGCATTTCTTCTGCGTCTTATTTCGTGCTAAGAGCTACAATCGACAAAATGTGGTCATGACGACTATGCGATAATAGATACTGCCTGTCCAATGAAACTGAAAATAAAATCTAGGCTAGTATTACGGCACTTTTACAAAGTTAATTTTATCGACAATTGCTGACGTTGCTCAGGTTTGGATGTTTATAACGTCACCAAGCCATGATCTTTTGAAAATGTAATGACAGTTTCATATTTAGCAAAGGAATCTAAACACGCATAGAAAAGAACTGCAATTATAATAATTACACGGTAATTTTAATTACATACCAATAACATAAAAAGCTTCATTTCCTTCGGAAGATATATATTGATTCAAATTTCGCTTGATATATGTACATATTTATTTAATAATGATTAAATCTTGCAATTCTTTCTATATTTCCTATATCCTATTTGCTTGTTGGGAGACTGTTTTGAAAATCAAGGGAACTTAAATGGTCTTTGATAGCCGGCCGCCTGTTAACATTGCACGTTTTACCCTAACATTCGCCAAATACCTCCTTCGCTAACTACTCCTTCGTTCGACTTACCAGTACTGATGCGATCACTAAAAAAACGTTCGGGCTAATATCTAAACGTATAAATATTCCATTCGCTTATTAAGTGATGGATTTGGTAACGCGTAGCAAGCGAGGAGGGCTAGAAATTGAAATTGTTTGCTCTGTATCAGTTGACGCTGACTCGAAATAATTATAGAGCACCATCGTTTGAATTAGTGGATTTGAACTGCCAGGCACGAAGTGCAGACGAAAAACTTATACACATGAGAACACTTTACCAGAACATATACTGCAATTTTTACAATGCAATTTGGTTCTCAGATGTTATTTCCACGATATTAGCACACATCTGTTCACGATTTGAATATAATTTCAACCGTTTTTCAACTTCGGTCCGATTCTGAGTACTGAATGCAAGATTACAAGTTATGGTAAACTTCTGCTGTTATCAGTTTACCATTAGTTTCTCGCATTATCAATGCGGATTATTTCATATGCTCATGGTCAAGCTTTTAGAGCTTTGTTTTTCGATGATGCAGCTCTGCGTCTGCATGAAATTTTTTGACGGTGATACACATAAGCATCATTATTATGCGTGGGTAGATGTTGCTTCTCTAATGAAACTGACTGAATAAAATCTAGGCTAGCATATTTTGCTATGTACATAATGGTACCGTGCATAATTAGCATAAAGCTACAATAATCTTTTTCACTGATCGCTGGTACGCCCCTGTCCGCACTGTGCCCACAGGAAACTTCACTTCACCGACAGAACGAAATCTGATTGTGGCCAAGAATACTCGTCTAGAAATATCCACAATAACGATTGACGGCCTCAAGCCAATCAAAGAGGTAAGAACCGTCGTGTTACCGTTCAGATGAATATGAATTTGTTTTGTTCATTTTTTAGTTATGACATAAACGTTCGCCAGAGTCGGTTACATATGATTTCGCCGATATCGCTATTACTTATTCTATATCCAGTAAAAGCTATGCCACCGACGTTATACATGTTTGATATTTAGCATCATACAGTTTGGGACAGATACTTGTTCATAGAGATCTCAAATGTTGTTTCATAACTCCAAGGCTCCGTGTCCAAATTAAAGAAGATAGCGTTGTTTAGTACTCATGCTATTACTGAAAATAGAAAAGAAGTAACTACTAAATCTGTATTGGGTGCTTACTAGCTCCTTTATTTGTATTGATTGTTTTACCTAAACGAAACAGTTTATCACGTGCAATCGTAGTAATATCCTTTTATGGCGCCGCTCTGTAAGGTGTTCTAGAATTATTAGTGTGGGTGACAAAGTGCTTACAACCTTCGCGATTCGTGGATTCACGTCGAAGCACTAAGTCCGTAATGGCATCTCGTTGCCTTATTTATCTGCCTTTTTTTTCGATCATTCAGGTTAACATCAATGGACGCATTTCGGTGATGAAAAAGCTACGCTACCCAGGCGAGCAGAAGGATCTCCTATTCTTTCTTACAGACAAATACAATGTTGCCATTGTTGAGATACAAAGTGAAGAGTCCGGTGATGTCTTCGAAGTCATCACGCGGGCGCATGGCTGTGTTATGGACCAGTATGCTCGGGCCTCGGAAGCAGGCAACCTTGTTGTTATCGATCAGCCCAGAGCCCGATTGATTGCGCTTCGCCTTTACGACGGCTTACTTAAGGTACATCTTGCCGATAATAGTAGTGAATTCTGTGATTTGTATGACTAAGGCTTTTAAGAAATTCCTGTGAGAGTTTCGTGATGGGCACCTACTTTTAAAGTGAAGTTCTTCGATGGCTTCGGTGCAACTAACAGGAGTATGGCCGAGGAAAAAGCTGGCTGAACGTTCTAGATGCGGACAATTGGTGTATGGTTTTTCTTTATACTAGGATCAAACATTTAATTGGGTAGAATCAACTTGTATAGTAGCTTTATCGTCATGAAAAGCAGATGTTGTGTATTTGTTTAAGCTTACAATTAGAGAAAAATGTTGCCTCCGTCGTCCAGACATGGTTCGATGTCTAGACAGTTGCACGTAATCCCATCGATAATGTAAACAGTCTTTTGTTGATCGACACTTAGGTAATACCTTTGAATCGGGAGGCTCGCGAGTTGCGCTCGTATAACATTCGTATGGAGGAGAGCCAAATTGTCGACATGTGTTTGCTGCCAACACCAGGAAGCGGATCAGTGGCGGGACCCTCGGGCGTGGGGGTAGCTGGAGGAGCTCGTTCAAATAGCTTACACGGTGATCAGCCTATTCTCGCTGTTATCCACGAGGAGCAGCAAAGCCGACACATGAAAACTCACTGTATTTCGCTTCGGTGAGCTTTTAATTTTAGGGGATTTTATTCTCTCTTATCAAACTGCTTATATAAAGGCTTGGCTAGGTAATACATTTGTTAATCATATGCAATACATTACCAATACCTGAAATTGCCTAATGGATTGGAAGCGGTTATGTTGTTGCTGGTTTGTCGACGACGTTAGCATCGTCGGTGCAATTAATCCAGTGTTGTTTTAGCAAAATCCTGCTAACATGTTTTTATAGACACTTTATGCCATTTCTACAAGAACTGGCGGTAACAATTTGCTTGTCGTTTTGTGGTATGATATTAGAGAAAAAGAACTTGTGAAGGGACCCTGGTCCCAACGAAACTTGGACTGTGAAGCAGAAATGCTTATTCCTGTTGATGATGCCGAATGTGGAGTTATAATCGGTAAGCTGCACATCTTGTGTCTTGTTCTAGTCCGCTATATTTTTTTTACGTTGATTTTAAGATATATGATATTGCAGGTAATAAGACTAAGCAAATGTTATGCAATTTTTTATTATATCACGTTAATGTAATTTCTTAAAGCACTATGTTTGATTCTAAAAATATGTGTAGCTTTTATCACTAATTATAGTGGAAGATATGCAATTTCCAGTTGGTGGTGAAACTATTGTCTACCATTGGGGCTCCGACTACGTCGCAGTCGCTCCAACGCTTATGCTTAATACTCAGATGCTGTGCTACTGCAAAATTGATACGAACAGGTACGACACTTGGACTTTTAATAGCCCAACAGTATACATATGTGCTAAGCGCATTTAGGCATTTTCTAATTGGTATTTGTATTCTGTATCCTCTAGGTACATTTTGGGAGGATATTGCGGACGCATCTTTATCCTGGTACTACATCGCGAGGGTAACCGTGTAACGAAACTTACACTCGAGCTATTGGGGGACGTCTCAATGGCCGAATCCCTTTCATATCTAGACAACGGCGTTGTATTTGTGGGTTCGCGTTTAGGCGATAGTCAGTTGGTGCGGATTCGACCAGAAGCACCATTTGTTGAAGTCCTGGAAAGCTATACCAATCTCGGACCCATCATCGATATGGTCGTTGTTGATCTCGAAAAACAGGTACGCTCTTATTATGTTGTCGTATCTGTCTTCGCGATGGTGCATTTGTGATCTAAGCCTAGAGATAAGCAAGGTGGTCTAGACGTAAAATAATAAATAAATGCAAAATAGGGAACAGACATGCTTGACTTTATGTCCGTAGTAATTTTTAATGTCAATACCATACCTAAAACTTACGTATGTTTCTTATTTACACTTCCGTAACGGACAGGTAACATAATGTAATAATACGCTTGACTTTGTTTTTTGCTATTTATGCTAAAGTCATATACGATTCACTCATGTAGCAAAATGTGCTTCTTATTGATAGTATTTTCTTTCAACTATGTTTGCATTCTCATTTTATTGGTACCATTACAACGCAAAGAATTTACCCAGCGTCTGTCGTGCTTGGAGTTGTGTGCGTGTACAGCGCCGTCACTCTATGTTAAGTGTTGCATAAAATCTACTAAGTAAATAGTGACTTTCATCGCCCTACACAAAAGCTCGTCTTCATTGTGTTCATAACGACAATAGCAATTAATCGCTTTCGTACCAACATGATAGGGCCAAGGACAGCTAGTGACGTGCTCAGGTTCGGGCGTCTGTGGTTCCCTTCGGATCATTCGTAATGGAATTGGAATTCACGAGCTGGCCTCCGTTGAACTTAGCGGCATAAAAGGTATATGGCCTCTGCGTTTGAACACGTCACAGCTCAACACTGCTTCCACACCAGCGACTGGTGCGATTGAAACAGGTGGGGTAACCAGTGCTTCTAGAACCGCTGAAAGTGTAGGCGACTCGTCGCCTGTTACGCAGAAAGAAGACACTTTGGTTCTGTCATTCGTTGGTCAAACCCGCGTCTTCAGCTGTAGCTCTGCGGATGAACTCGAACAGGTGGGAAGATAGACAACAATAGTAAATAATACTTTTGTGATGGAAGTCAGTGCTGAAGTTGCATTTTAAGTGTTAGTCTCTGAGTTTATCTTAGCGGAGAGGTTCATATATTATGGACTATATAACAGAAAGTAGAAGAAATATTTTAAAAATCATTTCGCTCTGCGTATATGTGGACCACCTGTAATGGAATTTCGTTTGTTCACAATCCATTTATTATATTTTCTTTTCAGATTGCTCTTCCGGAAGCTTTCGATAGTGATAGTCAGACGTTCTGCACGCGAAACGTCATTGCTGACCAGGTAAAGCACCAATACAAACCTACCAATCTCACTGTATTAGATGCTCATTTAACATGTACCCCATATTTTCCTCTACCGCAAAGTTCTCCATTAATTCTTCATAATAAAAACAATATATGTTAATGTCGATTCGAATAGGATTTGTTGGTTCTTTTTCTTAACTAGTGATTGAAATATTTATTTAGTACTAGACATCTTTTTTCGGTTATGTAAAGCTGATATGTTGGTTACCTTTAGTGCACACATTTGGCTTGCTATAGTGGTTTATCGCAATAAACAATTTGCCAAAATTTCACTATAACCGCTTGATCCGTTATAATGTAAGCAAATTATACTGAAATAAGTTGTAGACATTCTACGAAGTAATTTTGAGTTTCAGGTTGTCCAGATTACTGACCGACATGTAAATCTGATTTCCGTGGCCAGTAAAAGTAAAGTGTTCCAGTGGCGTGCTCCCCAGGACCAGCTAATCACGCAGTGTGCCTGTAACGACGTACAAGTTGTCGTGGCCCTCCAGAACGAACTTGTCTATCTTGAGATAGAGGAGGGAAAGTTCGTATTTTGGTCGAACTATCTATACTTATCGTATTTCTGAATATATCTAGATATATAGAATATATCTGTACTATATATTTGTTTGACTGTAATTAGTCATATATTGCAGAAACCGTTGAAGTGTTATATATATATATATTGTTGCCGTACCGATGTGGTTTGTAAGTTTTGACGAAATAAAAATGGCTTTACGTTTGCCTTATAGTGTGAAAGAAGTGAGTCGAAGAATCCTCGAGCACGAAATTGCCTGTCTTGATGTCAATCCATTGGATAAGGAAGGCAGCCGTACGGGCTTTGTCGCCGTTGGTCTCTGGACAGATGTCTCGATCCGAATCCTTTACCTGCCTGACCTCGAGGAGGTACATATGGCACTAGCAGAATGAGAACCATTTTTATTCTTTTCACAGCAACTTAACCTTTCTTTTTCTCCCTCTACCTTTGAGAGACAAATATGTTGACTTTTTGACATCCCCGTCGGTGTCTGTCCGTAGTTATATACGTTCCTTATTTACTCACGTCGAATTCAAAAGCCTAAAACTTAAGAGATGTTCCTAGCATATTTATCGTACTGTAAAGTCGTGAGTATAAACATCATCATTTTCATTATCTGTGCTTCGAGCTTCAGCACGGATACATTTTTATCCAAGCGTAATCAGTATTATTTTAATTCTAATAGCAGAGGCAATGCGAAAACAAATTGAAGCACAAGTGTATATATATATATATCATAAAGAGGAATTACCAATATTACAGGTGTTCAGACAGGACCTTCCAAAGGATGTTATTCCGCGTTCGGTACTAAAAATTACATTTGAGGGTCAGATGGATTGTTTGCTGTGCACCCTAGCCGATGGTTCGCTCTTTTACTTTGCAATTGAAGCAAATGGGCAGCTCGGCCGACAAAAACGGGTTACTCTAGGAACCCAGCCTACTACGTTACGAAAGTTCAGGTTTGTTGCCGGAGAACACATTCTTTGATTTTTTAGTGAAAGTATTTTAGATATTAAACGAAAAACGTATTTTCCAATGACATTTAAGAAATCCTCGGTAAATATTTACTGCTGATTTTTCCACCGTAAGAGGTGTATGTTTTCTGGCGTGACATGAGTGTGTTATTATTTTCATTGGTTTTGATTACATGTTACGAACTGTAGCTCAATTTACTTATTACCTTTCTATTTACAGATCTCAAAGAACGTGGAGTGTTTTTGCTTGTTCAGACAGACCAACGGTGATCTATTCGTCGAACTCGAAACTCGTTTTCAGTAAGGTACATAAAAGGAATGCTCCAATGAAATCCATTTTCTAGCCAATCAGTGAAACTTCTCTTCTTGTTATTATTTTATTGGTACCATAGTTTATACGGCTCTATAAGGTTTGCTTATTTTAAGATCATTATTTAAATCGTGAATATTATAAGAAGAATAACACTCTCCACTCCGTCATGAAGATTATCAAATAATAACACTTTACTCCTTGATGATCATATATTAAGTCATATATCAACTTTACAAAATAACTAATTTCATAAATAACATGTCATTAATACTGATCCGCTCCACGGCGTGCAAATATCGTGTAGAACGGCTTTACGTTTAATATTTGGAATAATTTTATAGGTTGAATCACGTAAATATTTGTGATATATTTGTAGTATATGACAGTAAATAGTTGTTAAATTACTTTTCAAAAATTACAGTCGAGTTGTATGAGCGTGTGTATTTAGTAAGCTGTTGATATATTGAGTACAAAAGACGTAGATTTGTGTAGGTTGAGTACAAATCATACTAGTATTATTACTAATAATAATAATTTTAATTACTATTGGATCTTTGAGACATGCGTAGAGGAAGTCTTATCCGCTACGACTTTTCGCGGCCTTTCCAGGTAAATCTACGAGAAGTTAAACATATGTGCTCCTTTAGTTCTGAGGCCTTCCCCGATTCGTTAGCATTGGCATCAGAGGATGAATTCGTCATTGGAACCATTGATGCGATCCAGAAATTGCATATCCGAACGGTCCATCTTGGTGAATCGCCAAAGCGCATCGCGTACCAGGTATGTGATGCTAGATAGATTTCGTTTGTGTGTAGAATTCCGCCCATATGCAGCTAGCTCTTCCAGTCGCTGTAATTTTTTCCTTACGTTAATTGAGGGGGTAAAGTCTTGAAACTGTTATGGCATATCTTCAAGACGTCCATTCTTTCTCACTGGCATGCGTCATAGTGGCTTCATACCGCAGCCCTGGATACCTTTGAGATCCCTGCTTAGCATTACCGCACGCTTGATCTGGTTTCGGTCGGCGTCAGGGATTTTGGCATGTCTCCCGATGCGCATTATATAGATGCGCAGATATTTTCCTATTCGCCACCCGGGGAAACGCCTTGTAAGTGTCCAGCAACACCCGCTTTTTATGTCATCGAAGCATACTGTCTTACCTGCTAATGGGGGGCCGTTTGGGTAATCACCGTATCTGAATGATAGTAGCCCATGAAGCTATAGAATGCCCGCTAAAATCAAAGCACGCTTTGTCACATACATATTAATATGTATATTATTCCAGAAAGTGAAACCGTTTACTTAAATCGGATCAACTGGCAGAAGTTTGGTCGTTGTTGAGTTTTTGGTGTTAGCAGCTGCCCCAAGTCTAGTCTTTCTTAAAGTTTGAATATGGCCTTTGTTTTGGTGTTAAACATCGCACTTGCAGGAGGATACAGGAACATTTGGTGTTTTAGTATGTCGCTCCGCAATGCTGTCGGCGAACGCTGGACCTACGGGATTCCGATGCGCAAGTCTCGACGCGCCAAATAAGTCTCAAGTGAGCGCGTACAGTTGGCAAAAGGACTTCTCAAAGTAAGCACTTAACAAACGCTATTTGATTGCACTTTCTGTTACGAAATATTGGAGAAAACGTAAAGTCGATGAAGCTAATAAAGTAAGATACAGAGGAGTTTGTGTGTAAAATGGTTTGAAGCGACTTATACATCGTATGCAGGTGCACTAAGTAGATGAAATGGTGCTTTAATTTGGCATACACTAATTTACTAAAATATTTAAACAAGAGGATAATCACCTCCTTTTTCTGGTTCATTTCAGCTATGGCCATCCAGCAGGCGGTGCAGATCGAGGAGATGGAAGCGCGGGGGGCTCAGGTGGCACCTCTTCGAATGCCACGCTTCATCGTCCTTCTAGCTGTGATGAAACGTATTCACTGCTTATTCTTGATCAGAACACTTTCGAGGTGGGTTCTCCCATATTTATCACACAGCGAGTCTAACCTTAGCATAGCCACGCACAGACAGCGTATACCTAGATAAATAGGTACGTGCTGTGTGTGTGTTCAGACTATGCCATCTTTGCAGAGCAGGATGGCTTAGTTGGCAGCGCGCTCTAAGCTGACGTTGGTTCAACTGGCGCTCAACTTTGCGTGCAAAGTTAAATTTACTTTTCGTGTAGGTAATGGTAGCGACTGTAACCCTGTGCAAATAGTACCGCAAGAAACAACACATAGTAACGGCCGTAAGTATTGCAACAGACCACAAGTCTTGTGCACATTTTCGTTCATCAGGGACATAGGCATTGTGGTTCCAGATCTCACTGGCGCAGCAGACCAATAGAAAGAAACACGGCACATCGGATTGACACTCCGCATTGTAAGCCTTGGCGAGGAATTGGCGTAAAGCCAGTCATGCTGTGGACTTCTTTCTGGATTAGTCCAGCAGTTAATACCTCACGGAGTGATTCAGTCTACACAGTACAGGCTGGTTGTAAGCCACGGGTTAATTACCTTTAATATTAATTAAATACTTGCCTTCATGCTGCAATAGATGTGGGCTTGTTTTTACTTGTGGATGTACTGCTTGCAAGACTACATGCATACCTCTAGCAAAACTCCTGCGCTATTTTCCGCAGATCACTTCTCCACTTCCTTCTGTGATAAGAGATATTGTACATTCCGTTATCTTTTTCTATAATCTTTCTTTATCTATAATAATATATCCACGCTTAAATAATGTTAACCAAAACTACGTGTCATTGATGCCGCCATTGCGCTATAGGTGTTGCACTCGATGCAATTCTGCCCGAACGAGTTTAGTGTGTCGATTTGTTCAGCTCGTCTAGGCGGAGACCCTCACCCATACTACGTTGTTGGTACATCATTCGTGAATGCCGAGGAATCTGATCCGAAGATCGGTCGATTGATCGTGTTCCGCTGGCACGACAACCGGCTAGAGATGATCGCCGAAAAAGAAGCTTCTGGTGCGCCCTATTGCATCCGGGAATTTCAACAGCGTTTACTCGTTTCGATCAACTCAACGGTACGCATTTACTCATGGAACGCCGACAAAGATTTACAGAACGAATGTACGCACTTTCACAACATCATTTCTCTACACCTCAAGTGTCAGGGGGATTATGTCCTGGTCGGCGATCTTATGCGTTCCCTGACGTTACTCAGCTTCAATCCTGGCATCACATCTCTTGAAGAGCTGGGCCGTGATTATCAGGTTTGTTCTTCATGTCGCTATTCTGTGACACAAAAATAACGTCTATCATGTAAAATCGAAGAAGATATAATTGAAACATGTGTAAATATGAAACGGTTAATATATTGTGATTCGCTCGAATGCTCTACAAAGTGGCCGTTGTAAGGGAATGGAGCGGACTTATTTATTCGATCGCGTATCTTGCGACCGATTATAGTAACTGCAGGTCTTGTTTTGGGATGCGCGGTACAATTTCAGACCAATTGGACAACAGCCGTGGAGATTTTAGATGAAGACACGTTCTTAGGGGCCGAGACCAACATGAACCTGTATGTGTGTAAGCGAGACGCGTCCGCTAACGACGACGTGCGGCCCCACATGAACGAGGTGGCTCAATTCCATTTAGGGGAGATGGTTAACGTAATTACAAGAGGGAGTTTAGTGATGGCACAACCTGGCGACATGCCACTACCTCTTAACAAAAGCTTTTTGTACGGTTCAGTCCACGGAACCGTCGGGGTCCTCGTTCCGATCAAGCAAGAACTCTACCAGCTACTAAATGATGTACAAAATAACCTATCGAAAATTATCAAGTCAGTCGGCAAAATTGACCACAGCTCCTGGCGGACGTTTGTCGCTGACCGTAAGGTATGGACGAGATTTTTTCCTGTACTAAGCCCTTTGTCAAAGTTGCATTGAGGATGAAAGCTATAATGTGGTAGTTCAAAACCAACTGTGGGACTAATTTCCACTTCGTATTTCATAGCCTCATTATTATGCGCTGACTTGAGTACACGCTGGTTCGATATGCCGCACGCAACATGTGTGGTTAGATAAAAATTATTTGATTTATTGTAACATAAATTTACTTGAATTTTGATTCAGGTGGAACCGGCGGTGGGCTTTATTGATGGTGATCTTATCGAACAGCTACTGGACTTGCCTCGAGAGGCTCTCAGACAAGTAGCTCAAGGTATCAGCATTGATGAGGATGGCGTTAAGCGGCCGGCCACTCCGGAAGATCTAGTTAAGCTCGTCGAGGATCTCACAAGGATTCACTAATTGTGGCTCAAGGAGAGGGCGAGCAAGAGAATGAAAAAGGGCGAATCGCTATTTACAAAAAAATTAACGTTAACTTGTCAACGAATGCTAAGTATTTAGAGTACCAATTTCCATAAGCTCAAGTTTTTGCCTAAAATGTCGGTCGGTTTAATGGAAGCGATAACTATGTACTATAGGAACTGTACTCGGGATAAGCACACGAACAAATGAAGAAAACGACAAATATCTAGTAACATTTTTTTTAATAGTTGCTTGAGATCACAGAGTATTTGGTTTAGGTAATTCACACTAAATTGATTAATGAATTAGAGACTTCCTTCTTTCCCTGGCCGCTACATAATTAGTACACGGTACGCCGTCAAATTTTATGCTTATCATGATGCATTTTGGTATCGTAAATACTAACAAGAACATTATTCTTATTATTATTACAACTCATTAAATGCATATATATATATATATATATATATATATATATATATATATATATATGTATTCTGAATAACTTTAATATTTATTATTCAGAATGGTGCGTTCCTCGTCACTAGCGAGGTTGTGGGTATAAAAGCGGAATAGTTATATAAATATTAGAATGAATCGCTTCTACTTGTAAATAAATAAATGGTAGTATAAACATGCTTTGTCCACTTGATATGCTTGTTTGTTTAATCCATTATTATAGGACAATTACAGACAGAAATATTTATGCACTCCGGCGAAATGCTATTTTACGGTGTTGGCTTTTAGTCACTTCTTGTGACAGTACAGGAGACCAAATAGGATTACTAGTTCTTGAGCTGGCTGAAGGAACAGCGACGTGGCATTTAATAGTGTATATTTGTGAAATATAGCACTATAATTTCCGCGTAGAGAATGGGCAGTTGCTGTCAATTCACCAGTTTTCAATGGGAGCTGGGTAAACCGTATGGCTTGGCCCGTTTATGCGTTATTAAATGAGTTTGCTATCGGAATCTTCGAGATTAATTATCGTTAGGTTATATTCTATATCAATTAACTGCAGTATAACATAAGGTAATGTGATATTAAAAGCTTTTCCGTTTTTTTTTTTTACCAAACTGTGTTTTCATTTAGCTTAAAGAGCTTGGTCCTTAAAGATAATAACTTACTTAGTACCCTTAGAATCGCAGTTTACAGGAGAGGTCGTTTGTGAGAATTTAAGCGAGTCTGAGAATTTGGCGGTTAGTTGTGAAGGCATATCTGCAAGTCTCAGTATTCAAGGGGCTCACTCGTCCATCGTCTCGACCTTTTCGGCGAGCTAAATGTGAGTTCAACTTGTTGAAACTAAAAATACGGTTGGTCCATTTGAAGTTCTATTAAGCTCTGACACAGTACAAATTGCCGTCATTGACACTCCAGCTGGACCAGAAAAGTCTGGAGGTAAACCTTTATTAATTCCATTGAGTCGGTTCCATTTGTAAAGAACTCTCACAAGCCATCGGGCCATGATGTCCCGCTGACCTCAAATATCTTGATTTCTTCCCACAGGTCGGTGTTTAGGTTTTTGAAAACTGTATGCTCCAACAGCCACCTGCAGGCCGTATAAACCCCGCCGGATAGATGCATTCTATACTTCTAGTGCTGTACACGCTGCTTTTGACAGACAATAAATAGATTTAAAATGACTCATTTAATTCTACTAATATCGGAGACGATATTTGTTGCGCTGTTAATAACATTTCCTTCCGTTAAACATCTTAGTGCGGAAGCTGAGGGTTCCAGGAAAAGAAAAATATCAACCTAAAACAGTGACAGCACTGAATTGTGTAGGATTCAGTGGAGAATTCTGCGGTGGAGGGAAATCATGTACTGTGCCAGCGTTGTTCGATCCTGTTTCAAGGCAATAGCTTCTAAGTTCTCAAGCTATGCGAAATGTTCAATAGACATTTCGCATTACCAATTGTTACTACCACGGCTTCCCTCAACATTTAGCATTCGATACGGCCGCTAAACGTCACTTGACACAACTTCATTTGGGTAATCTTACGAAACATACGGTGTCTGGTTGTATATTTCTAATATTTTTATCACTATTGCTATACAAAATGAGGTATCGCCCGAACGTATCGGGTTGTGCCAGTATTGGTGGTAACATCGAGAAAAGAGCGAATCGTCAAAGCCAGTGTTGCCGAAAGACTAGTAATTTGAAAAAAGTGGGCCGCCAAACTGTATGGCTATGATGCGTGGCGAACTGTAGGCAACGACAGATATCTACGGCTGACGGTATAAGCGCCAACGATCAGGCTAGCTTATGAACTCGCGCTAGACCGTTAAGATCCTGCTTCTAGAGGAAGCACATTTATGAGGTAAAGTACTACGCATGCGTCCGAGGACATAACGGACATTTGCACTTGTTCGTTCAAGAGAAATGCTTTCTGTTGGAGCACTATAAGCTACCATGTGGCTCTAGGCGTTTATAAAGATATTAAACAATCTCGCCTATGTGATGGCTTTATGAGCTTACATAGTGCAGCGTAGTTGCTAAATTTGTCGCTGTCTGCGAAGCTTGCATGCGACTATCAGCGACGCCGATGGTGTTCTTGAGTACGTGCTTTTCAATCGGCACCTGTTTTGAGTCAAAAACGTTGAAAAAGTTAGGCGTTGGCAAACAAATTACTTAGATTAGGTGGAAGCTGCACCCATATTCCATTCTAGTAGCATAGACACGCAGCCGTTCGTATGTGTATTGATTGCGTTTCTATATCTTCTGGCATATATCCACAGATCTAGAGCTGCGAGTCCATCAGCTTCGATTCGCATGAATCTACAAAAGTTCTTTAATTGGTTGGAGAAAATGTCGACGTCGCTACGGGAGGAAATCAGCAAGTGTATCCTTAGCGGGCGAAGAAGTAGATTCGTTTGGAATAAACAGAATCGCAGCGTAGAATGATCAAGGTACTCTGAAAAACGTAAGCTTATCCACAGTGTTAATTACTTCCTAATATTTTTACTCGACTATTTCAACAATATAATGATTAATAGGCATAAGAAGGTTATTAGATATTTCTCATCCAGTGGATTCGGTTTCTACAAATTGAGTTCAACAGAATTTCACCGACAAACCTTCAACGACCATAGGGTCGTCGATGCCAGGCCATTTTGAGCATGTTTCTGTGTTTTGTGGCAGTCTTCGAGTGCTTATACTTCGATTCTTTTCCTTCACTTGTTAGACTGTTTAGGCTGAGCAACAATCGGAGCCGGATGCCCTCAGATCATGAAAGGATAAGCCGTCGAAATCGGGCGTCCACTTGGGAGGAGATCAGCACTAGAGGTCTTCAAGAGACCCTTTTGTAAACTGAAATCTGCTAAAAATCGCAGAGAATAACGTCGATTTCTGTTTTTCTAATTTCATTGAGACTCAGGTTGCTCTTAGGGGAACTCAGCTTTTGTCAAAAATTTGCCGGCACATTTTGCCGATACAAAAGGTATAAGCTCAGAAATGAGTAAGTGACTCTTGCCAATATGAGTTAGATTAAAAACCAGTTATTAATTAATTAGTCAATGATTAATTAATTAAAAGTTCAACACGATTAATAGAGAAATCAGTCTAGGAGCATATTTTTTACCTATTTCAAAACCAGATTTATTGAAAATTATTTCTGTTTATTACTCAGTATTCTATCTATAATTTTCCCAATATCGCCGGTTATAAAGCAACGGAAATTTGGTACCATAGGCGCCAAAATCTAGTTGTTTCGATAAGCCTTTTTAATATTTTCGTTGAGTAATATATGGAATTTTTTCCTACGTCTAACCTTTAGCATCTTGATGTCATTGTCTTTTGCTGGTAATGAACCGTATGTCAAATGAAAAAGGCTGGGTAAGTTTTACTTCTAATTTCATAATGGTATAAGGCTTATGGGGTTTAATGTTTTAGAGAGTCAAATAAGGCTCAATTGTCGAACATTTTAAAATGCTTGGATTTTCTAGCATTTTATCGAAATCAAATTTTTCGAGTTAAACTAGCTAATTCTACTAATTTACTACTAGCCAATTCTAATTAATTTAACAAACAACAAAAAAAGATTGAACAGTATAATGTAGTTTAAGATAAAAAAAAAAAGTGTGAAAAATCTTCACACTAAATATAAGTAATTGAACTAACAACAAGGAAGGCATTGAGTGAAACTACATTTGGCCAACACCAGTTTTACATCACTGCAATTTTCATTTGATAGCTTTGATCTGTACGTGCGTAATTATTAAGAGGTAGCGTGTAATTATTAAGAGGTACTATGCGAATTTAGCTAAGCACTAATTTAATTTAGGCCAGACTTATCCCTCGGTATTTACTGTATCTAGGAAAATAAAGGCGTATGTTAAAATCGATCTTACTAGATTAGATGATTACAAACATATACTAAATTGTATATAAATTATACACTTTTCTTTTTTACTAACTTGCATATCAGGATTAATAGCAATAGACTGAAGACCTGCTTTGATGACCTAATCGATGCGTATTCACTGAAACTTATGTTAAGATGTTACATTTACACATGCTATCATTGCCACCTTCAATCAAAAGTTCATAGCAAAGACTTTAATAAATAGTTTTTACTTCAAGTAATCATACAGTTTTATAGTTCTAATGTTGTATGTACAGTTTCAGTCATCTGTGGGAGAAATAAAACGCTGACTCAAGTGTACTTAAGACCATTAGAGAATCCTTTCACCAGAGAGGCAGCCTTTATTTACTTTTTTTACGCACTAATATTAAATTCCCCATATAAAATCATACTTCTTGGAGTTGCAATTATATTAATGTTGTATAAATAAGATCTGCTGTTTACGCTACACGGGCGGTGGCCACTCTAGTTCGCCGCCACTAATGGTGGGACTCGCATGTTGGGCTAAGAATGTAAGTTCAGTTTGTATTGGCTTTAAATACCTCCCTAAATGTTTGATGATTTCCCGGCAATTATTATGATCATTTATGGCCTACCATTCCAGTTACCTGTGACAAGCTCGTCACGTGCGACTCGTCGCGTCCGTTATAATTGTTTTGTAAAGTGAGCAGATTTCTTTATTTCTATGATCGCCTAGATGCAAACTAACTAACCGTTACAGACATTAGACATTCGAATTGGTCCTCAGACGGCTGCAAACCACCTAGACATCCAAAGGGTACCGATTGGTGGGAGTTTTACTGTGAAGCCTACGGTATACAACTAATACGAGATGGAAAAAATGCGGACGAGGAAATTAGCTTTTACTACCGCTGTTGTTACTCAAGGTACTTGTTGTTGCCTATTAAGGGTTTTACTATGACACGTTATGCGAACCGCATAATCCTTTTCATTTCTATATGCCTGTGTCAATGTTTAGAGCCTTGTTGATAACAGCTAGCGGTATATTCCGCTCTTCTTAGCTTGCTATATGCTTACTTAAACCGGGCACTTAGGGAATTCACTGCTCACAAGTACCGCGGACAACGGACGCTGAAGACATCGGTGGGAATGTGTTAAATTCGGTCTAGAGAAATGATCGTAGTGGTCCCGCTCGGAGCCCTTCGTAGTGGCGGGAAGAACGAAACATCGTCACTGTTAGAGCTCCGGGACCGGTTCTGCCTCATGATAGTCGATGACTTCTCCCAAGAATTCGACTGGCTGAATCGAACTCTCGATAG